GCCTCATGACTGAGAGTCAAATAGAGAAACAGAGTAGTACTTTTGAGTCTTCAAAGAAATACAGGTTATTCAAGTTACATGAGTAATCATAACAAAGCGCAGTGATAGTTCTATGGTCTTGATAAAAGCAAAGTGTTATGCTAGTATAACTAAAGCATAGTAATTAGACTAATATTCAGCAATGAGCAAGGGGATAGATATTATAATATAAATGTAAATATTTGTATGAAATACTATAGAACTTCTATAAGTTTAGATTATAGGGACTGTAACAAACTGGTCAACATAAGGAACTAGGCCTACTGTGCTGATTATACCTGTGGTGCAAGTCCAGTCCATGAAAATTTAGGACCACTTAAGGAGGTGGTCAACTATGGTGGTTCTACTATATTTAAATTGTATAAAAACACCGATGCTCATGTAACAAACATCCATTACTCAATGCCCATACTTAAGGAGTGTTAATGTTTTACCCAGTTGACTTTAGATCTTCTCATGTTAATGAATGAAAATGCTGTAATTAGTGTTGAATTGTACTCACTTGTACTCCTCTAACCAAAGGTAATTATTCTCCTACAGTGTTGTATATATTTCCTGTGAATATTTTTTGTACTTCATTCACATAACTAGTTTTTTAGCTGTTCACTATCTCTCAAGCACTGTCCCAGTGTTTGTGTTGTAGAAACACACACACAATCAAATTCCCTGTGCTCGTGGAACTTACTTTCTAGGAAGGGAATTAGACAAGAAACAAGATAAAATAAGTAAAATATACAGCTTATTAGATTGTAGTCAGTGTTATGGACAAAAAAATAGAAATTAGCTGACAGTGGTGTTGGAAATTTTAGGTCTAGTAGCCAGGAAATGCGTCACTGAGAATGTGTGAGTCAGCTCTTTTTGAAAAATGTAAAAGGAGATATTTTATAGGTGTGTGGAATGGAAATTAGACCTCTTGAGCAGCTTCTCTAGAAGGCATACTGCTAAATAGAGGAAATTTAAGACTTTTGAGATTAAAAACACATGTATTTAATACACATGTACTAAATCAATAACTTTGCTAAGAAAAGAAAAATTAAAAATGTATTTTATTTTGCCTTATTTAGTTTCACCTGCCTAAGGCTAGGTCTGTATTAAATACCTTCTAAAGTTTTTACCAGTTCTGGAAGTTTTTCATCATAGGCGCATACAGCCAGTGATGGTTTAATTGGTTGCTGCCCAGCTTCCAGTTGACTTCAAGCTTGTTGTAAACTAACTGGTAGATGAATATAAATATAAATATAAAATAAAATAAATATAAATATAAAATTTATCATCTACAACTTGACATACAGTGATTAGCCCCACCATATTCTGTATCATTTCTGTCCTAAGTACTGTTTTATTCCTTAAGACGAATATAGGCACATGACAGGTCAGGACATGTAAATGCTAGAAGAAACAGGAAGGAATGTCTAATGCGGTGTTGGAAGGTTTGGAAGGACAAAAAAAAAAAAAAATACCAGGGAAATGTAATCAAAAGCAAGATAAGATATAGAAGAACCAAAACAAAGAAAGGGGTAAATTTACATGAGTAACTTCTGAAGAGCAAAACTAAATTGAAGAAATATGTATTTAGATTGACATGTTCTTGTAGATGATTTGAGCAGCTGATAGTGGTATTGGGAAAATAGGCTCCTCAAAATGTAGTTAATTACTCACTGTTGAATTTTTTAATAACCGGCCAAATGAATGTCTTTCCAAGAAGCTATTTCATTTCCTGTCAATAGTTGGTGGTTGAAAGTGGTTCCAGTATAGTGCAGGATTGCACGGGGATCTTTAAGACTGAGGGTGGCGATTCCATTTATAAGATGGAGAAAGAGACAATATAAATATGAAGTTGTTTCCCCTGATCTTCTGATACATACCCAACAAAGTGAGCATCAGAATACCCCATTTCAAAGATAGAGACCCTGATCCAAATAACAATTTTAAAAAATATGGTAAAAATAAAAGATAGAAGCACTGGGAAATAACCAAAAGCAGACATAAGCACAAAGGATGTTGAAAGGTGAACAGCAGAGGATGTGATTCCCAAATTTGTAACGTTTCCTTGAAGTACTTTCCAGATACTTTTGGGTGTAAACATGCTGATAACATGTAAAAGATGAGAGTTTTGAGCTGGTGCAATAGCAGGAAATTAGTGAAAAAATTCTGGAAAGGAGAAAGTCACAGAGAAAGTATGCCGTCATCTTTCCCAGCTAAATAAAAAATTTTTCCAAGAATCCACAGTGCCAAAAAAGGGGGAAGCAGCAGCATGAAGCTTAAAGAAATGAGCAGAGTTTTCAGCTATGGTTCATCATAGGGAAGACATATTTTGGGTTTGATTTTAGCCAAGTTAAGCCTGATAGAATGAATCTTCCCAGGAACACAACAGAATTCAGAGCCTCTATAACATATCGTTCAGAATATCCATTATGTAATTTTAAAAAATTACTAGATATGTGAAGAAACAGAAAAATGTGACACAAAGTCAATTAATAAAAGAAAAACATTTAGTGGAAATATACCCAGGGGCAGTATAGATACCACAACCACCAGGAAAGAACTTTAAAACAACTGTTATAAATGTTCATGGGCTTAAGGGAAAGTAAATGCATAATAAACTGAACAGATGGGAACATCAAAAGAGAAAAACTAGGAAGAAAAAACAAAATGAAAATTCCCATAGCTAAAATGAATATTAGTTGGATAAACTTAATAGATTGGATATGGCATTAGAAAGATTTAGTAATTTTAAAGATAATAGGAATTACAAGATC